ACCATCTTTGGAACCATCTGTATAGATTGGAGTATAATCACCATATTTATTGAAACACTGTGGAACTAATATCATTCTTTTTGTTTTTTGTAAGATCTAGATCGATCTTGGGAGAAGACATAGCCCATGGTGGTGTCTCAAAGAAAGGGGTATTCACAATACTGTCCTGACTGATACCAGTCTGAGACAAAAGGGGTTGAATGCGAACACCGAATGATGGAATAATGTCATAATATATGGCAGAAATGCAATTTTTGTAGCATACTGCAGTGCCATTTTATCACGTCTGTCGTGCAATGAGGACTAGCTCGTGAGCCTTGACGTATAAAATGTGCACTGGAGATGTACGGAATGCTCCTAAACTGATTCTAAGTCCTTGGTTGTGTATGGTGTCAAGCTCTTTGAGATAAGACTCGCGGGCCTACCCATACACAATACACCCATAATCGAGTTTAGATCTTATCAGTGCTCAATATAATCTGAGCAAGAACTTACGGTATTTTGATAAGACTCTCAAGATGTTGAGGGCTTTCAGACATTTCTTCTTCAGGGTTTTAATATGAGGGATAAATAATAATTTCTTTTTAAATATCAAACCCAAGAATTTTGTTCATCTACAACTGGAATGGGACTACCATCCAGTGTAAGTTCCGGATCGGGATGTAAACCTCTTCTTTGACAGTAGTGCATGCACACAGTCTTGGATTTCGAAAATCATTAAATAGAATTCAAGCTGCAACTGACGTTTGGTCTTCTAAATGCTCAGTCTATAAAAAGAAATAACATTGCATTCTTGAATACAAATTTGATATACTATTGATAAATGAAACATGGTTATCTCAAGTTGGTGATGAGGCTAAATGTGTCGAAATTACACCGCCTGGTAACACTCGTTTTCACTCTCCTCGACTCACTGGTAGAGGTGGGGGCATAGCTGTTGTTTTCTATGACAAGCTGCAAATTAAAACTCTAAAATCAGCAAAAACATTTTCTTCATTTCAACACTTGACAGTAACTATAAGATCAACATCACAGGCGTTAAAACTCGTTTGCATTTACAGACCACCCATTTCAGGTAGAAATCATTGCACTGATGCAGACTTTATTGATGACTTCTCTGTGCTATGTGAAGATCCTTACCAGGATGAAAACACCCTTATTGTCGGGGATTTTAACATACATTTTGACTCTCCGAACAATGTTCTCACTAAACGTGTCTGTGATCGTCTGAACATTTATGACCTTAAACACTTAATTACTTTGCCGACACACCGCTTGGGTTCTATGTCGATTGGGTTCTATGTCGAAATACTAATCTTGTACAAAACATTGATGTTGTCAACAACCTGATCTCTGATCATTTTCTGGTATCTTTTGATGTTAACTTTCCAGAAACTGTGAAGCTAGCAAAAGCAATACAATATAGAAATTATAAATCCATAAATTTGGACAAATTTAATGAAGATCTTAACAAGAGTTCGCTTTTCAGTAACTTAACAGCTGATGATGCTAATAATATGGTTGATTTATTCAACACAACCATTTCTGATCTCGTAGCAAAACATGTCCCGATTCACACAAAGACCGTTAGCCGTTCACTGAATACTCCATGGTATGATGAATCAGTAAAAGACATCAAACAAAAGCGTCGACAAGCTGAACGGAAGTGGCACAAAACTGGACTGGCTGTGCATAAACAAATTTATATGCAAATTTGTAGACTCTTTGATGAGTTTCAGTCAGCCTATCGCCCCTCCAATAGCACTGAAACAGCTTTGGTTTGTGTCATCGACGCTTTAAAATCATCCGTCGATTCAGGAAGTATCAGTGTGCTAGCCCTTTTAGATTTGTCGGCTGCTTTCGACACAATCAACCATAGCAACCTACTTGACCAACTGAAGACTCACTACAGAATAGCTGGATCTTCTCTACAGTGGATCGGCTCATATCTAACCAGTCGATATCAGTATGTTGACATTAATATGTTGACATTAACTATCCTGTGGGGTACCTCAAGGTTCAGTGTTGGGACCCCTTTTATTTACACTGTATACAAAATCCCTTGGAAACCTCATCGATAGTTATAACATTCAGCACCATTGTTATGCTGATGACACACAGCTGATCGATAAATTTGACCTCAACACTGTTAGCCAGCTCTCCACAATTGGTAATTTGGAAAGTTGCCAAAATGGTATTAAGAACTGGATGTCCACCAACATGTTAAAGCTTAACAACGACAAAATTGAGCTTTTCCTTATTGGACCTGATCACAGACTTAATACTTGCATTATGAAATCTCTCAAAATAGACAATTCAGATATTCCAATATCAAATGTTGTGAAAAATCTTGGTGTGTTCTTAGATTCAATCAAACCTCAGTTTTAACTCTCACATAAACAATATCTGCAAAATTTGCCATTTTCATCTTCGAAGAATAGGATCAATCTGTCATCTTATACCTGAAAGTGCAGCCGCTGCACTGGCTCGATCATTCGTGCTGTCCAGAATTGACTACTGCAATGTCGTACTTTCTGGAGTAACTGATGAACAAATTTCCAAGTTGCAAAGGATCCAAAATCGTGCTGCACGAATTGTGACTAAAGCTAGATCAAAATCACACATCACTACCATCTTAAATAATCTTCACTGGCTGCGAGTGCGCGAGAGGATTAACTTTAAAATTTGAACTCTGATATACAAAACATTACATAAAACAGCACCAAGATATCTTCAGAATCTCTTGACACACTACCAACCAAAAAGGTCACTGAGATCCAAGAATAAATTATTGTTAGATGTACCGAGTTATAAGATGAAGAAATTTGGTTCAAGGACTTTTCAGTATAATGCATCAATTCTATGGAATTCGCTACCATCTTCCATTCGAAAATGTGAAACATTGTTTATCTTCAAATCAAGTGTGAAAACCGGGATGTTTAGTCACTATAATTAACCCACGTAAACACTTTCATGCGCCTAGAGCATCCCCAAGTGGGATGAACTGTTGCGCAATATAAATTTCGTTATTATTATTATTACATGAAAATCTGATTACAAGTAATAACCCATGAAATAATCATCAGAAAACTTTAGAATTTGTTTTGATTGTTTATAGCCTCAAGAGCAGCCACAAGATTTTTCAAAGTGATCAAGGGCCATAACTCACTCAGTAAATATCGGAAATCGTTGAAAATTAATAGAATTCTGTCTCATGACCTTAAACACTGTGTATAAGGTTAAAGGTAATCCGATATTAACTTTAGCCTCAAGAGCTTCTACAAGATTTTTCAAAGAGATCAAGGGCTATAACTCCAACAGTAATTATCTAAAATAGTTGAAAATCAATAGTCTTCTTTATCTCAAGACAGTGCGTATAAATTTAAAGTCAATCGGATATTAACTTTAGCCTCTAGAGCGTCCACAAGATTTTTCAAAGTGATCAAGAGCCATAACTCTGGCAGTAATTATTGGAAATCGCTGAAAATCAATAGGCTTCTTCGTCTCATGACCTTAAACACTGTGTATAAATTTAAAGTCAATCAGATATTAACTTTGGCCTCTAGAGCGTCCACAAGATTTTTTGAAGTGATCAAGGGCCATAACTCTGGCAGTAATTATTGGAAATTGCTGAAAATCAACAGGCTTCTTCGTCTCATGGCCTTAAACACTGTATATAAATTTAAAGTCAATCGGATATTAGCTTTAGCCTCTAGAGCATCCACAAGATTTTACAAATTGATCAAGGGCCATAACTCTGGCAGTAATTATCGGAAATCGATGCAAATCAATACGCTACTTTGTCTCATTTCCTTAAACACTGTGTACAAATTTAAAGTCAATCGGATATTAACTTTAGCCTCTAGAGGACGGAGCAATGACAATATAGGACTACATTCCAAAATACAGATGGACGGACGGGCAGCAGAGGCGACGACAATATACAACCACATTTCAATGTGGGCGTATAAAAACGAAATGAAATATAGATCTGTATTTTAATCAGATTGAGCCATCGAAAGTATAAAAAGACGAAACAAAATATAGATCTGTATCTTAATCAGACTGAGCACTTTAGTATGAGCCAAAATTATTCTTAGAAGTTGTCTTAGATCATAATCAAATAACATGTAAAGAATTGTATAAGTTATTTACTCCTATTAATCTTATTTTTGACAATTGTATTAAAATACTGATGTATAATTAATAGAGGCCTAGTTTTTGACACTAGAAATGTATAGCAACCTTATCTCACAAAGTAATTCCACAAAGATTGAAGTGATCTTTGTCATTTCCACACCAGATGGCAAATAGGTACACCTCATATTATCAACAAACATTGGTTATTATTAACATCTATTAAAATAAGAAGTACAATAAACCACAATCTTTGAAAAATGGATTATGCAAATAACAATTTAAAACGTCATTGTCAAATGAAAATCACCAGAAATTATAGCACATATAACATGACTGGGACCATGTAAAGGTGGCATGACAACTTTTACAGAAAAAATAAGCCACACTTATCTTTTTCAAAGTACCGGTATTGACCAATCAAACTGATTATCTATACTTAGCCTATAGTTGCATATGTATATCTGTTTTTTAGTGTAACTTCTATTTATGTGTCAGTATGTAAGCTAGATATATTTTGTTCTATTTTAGATCAAATAACCAACCAATAAAACCAGTATAACCATGTAACCATACAATGCTGTATAACAACTGCCATTAAATATATTAAAGCATCAGAATAGTGTTTTCAACAAAAAACTAATCCGGTTATACAATTAGTCGGGACTCTGCAAACTCACCCCCATTTCCGTCTTCTTCAACGGTCCAGACCCTATACTTCTTGTCAAATACAAGCTTGGGATCAAAACCATGCCACTTGACTCAGTGCACACATTAGATATAACTAGACCCCCCAAGCCTCCTAATTAATTTTGAATAATACCATATTGAAAACAAAACAAAATAATATAAAACTTACTTACCTTAGTAGTTCCTTGGCTTTAAAGCGCACAGTAGGGGTCTTTCTCTCTAACTTTGGGGAATCTTGATTCCCATTCTCCTTTAAGTCACTCCCACTTGCAATAATTTCTCGCTTAGGCATGCTTTCTCTCTCACACAAAACATTAAAATCCTGCACTAAATCTTTATAATCATTCTGTTTAACATTGTCCCAGATATCATTTCATATGTTTACCTAGAAAATAGATTTAAACAATTAATATACACTGTCATGCTTGACAGTTAGAATGTTCTAACACTAATCCATTCAAGTCTAACTAAGGATATCAAAACTAAAATGACACAGATTGGGAACCTTACACTATATGTATGATAACTTGCACCAAAATTTAGCAATAGAAAACTAACCGTTCAAATGTGAAAATAATCCCATTTGAAAAATGGTACATAGTAAAAACCTGAGTTAATTGGAAATAATCAAAAATAATTTTTACAAAAATTTCAATTTTTAGAAACAATCTATTTTCACTGTGTACAAGATGGCAATTCATCTCTAACAACTGAAATCCACTGCCAAAGACTGAATGGGGTTCAGGTATTTCTTTTAAGAAGAAAAATAATTGACTTTTATCTTGAAAAAATATGAAGGTAGAGGTCAAATATTGTACAAATGTGTGATCCTAAATGTCGGGACAGTCATTAAATGAGGAAAGATATGTTCAAGGTTATAATAAAATTTCCCATATAAGTAAAAAATACAAATTTCAATTTAGGTTAGTTGAATATACAATGTATATGATTCTAAAAAGTTATTCTACTGGTACATTAATCAAACAAATTATTTCATCTATGCATGATAACTGTCAGTACCATGTAAAATAGGCTTTTCTAAAATATGTATATTATATAAGGCACACAGACATTAGTCCGAATGTTGTATCAAAATGTTATGCAATGTCATGCTCAAGACAATCAACTAAAATACAGACACTATCCTTTTTGTGCATTTCAATGAAATCCGTCACAGGAGTCCAATATATTTTAATAAAGTATAAATAATGTATGACTGGCAATTAAGTTGGGTTTACATTATTTGAAATAATGATATGCCTATGTCATAGGATGACGCCACATCTACATTTTAAGATCACTTATAGTAGAACTTCACTATAGGAGAGTTTCCAATTAAAGGGCCTCCATCAGATACTTATATCATTGATACATTGTACTGGTATTTGAATAGGTGCTGCTAGTTGTCATTTTCACTGTATTTACAGATCTGGAGTTTGAAAATTGAAATAGTAATTTGAATTGTTCTATTGGGTCTGGTAGTTAATTCTAGAGAACAAAGACAGGTTTTGAAATCTGCTGACGGTTGAGATTTCTACTGGCAGTATTGGGTTCACCAAGACATTTTATATGAGACAGAGCTTACTTGTTTAAAGCTTTAAACAAAGAAGAGTATCTTAATTCTTAAATTTAATGCTTTGAATAATAGGAAACTAATGTATGTATATGCAGAGGTTTTCTGTTTTTAGATTGAAAGCAGATGATCAGTATTGTTTGAGTATGATATCTATTGTATACAGTTTAATCCTAATCATTCAAATAACAAACTGGGAAAAGCTTTTGGAATGGTCGCATAAAAAAGTTAATATCAAATGACCGTAAGTATGTTCAATTTATCAAAATTAGTAAATTACTTTGAAATGTTTTCCTCTTTGCAAAAATATTTGTTTTTTGTACAACTGGATGCAGCTTATCAGGGTTTTTTGTTTTAAGAAAGGTAGGAAATTGAAACTTAATTAATGTTGTGGGAGATATCAAAATGGGGTCAGCGGTTCAGTAGTAAGCTGAATAGATTTAGTTTTTTAATGAGTAACAGCTGAGAGTATGGTAAAAAAAAAAAACATTATGTGTCACCACAGAAAGAAAATCTCAGTAATGTTTTTAGTTGCACCTGACATTTTTAACTTTTACATGGACATTAACATACACAGAGAAAAAAACAAATCTGTACTGAACTAAATTTGACTGGCCTTGAGTTCTTCCTGTTGGTTAAATCAATTGGTGAATTAGATGTTAACTTGAGCCTCTAGATAGAGTCATGGGCGTGGATTTAGGGGGGGGGGGGGGGTCCCCCCCTTAGAATCGGAAGGGGGGGGGGGGCGAATAGGTCTCTGTCCCCCCCATGATTTTGATCGCCAGGACAGATTTTCATGTTTATCTAACCACTGCCTTGGGTCTCGCCACAGTAATTCATCTTCACGATATCTTCCTCCTTAATTGTAGGTAGTCAATTTTACCATATCGTCATCATATAACCCCTAGTTACAGCTTTCATCGAAATAACTCTGGTAAACTGTTCGCAATTATTATTTTGGTTTGGTAATGAAAGGTTCCAGGGTTTGTCCATCCCCCCCCCCCAAAAGTTATGACAAACCCACGCCCTTGGATAGAGTCCACAAGAATATTCTTTGTCTCATTAAAAATAAGCACTGTGTATAAATTTCAAGTCAATGGAATGATAACTTTAGGGTGTCCACCATTTTTTTCAAATTCATCAGCAAGGGCAATATCTCTGGCAGTATTTATTTGACATTGTTGAAAATCAATAGGATCCTCTGTCTGATTTTATTTCTGGACCACAGACAAGGGTGACGAAAATATACAACCAAATTTAAATGTGGGTGTATAAAAATCAATCAATATGCAAATAAATAATTGAATTACCTTTTTCTAAACTCCATTGATCTTCTGTATAAACTACTGTTTAAATAAATGATAATCCAATAAAATAATTAAAAAAAACCTGTCAAGATACACATACCATAAAGTCTTTAATTTCAGATAAATCTGAATATTAACACCTTAGAAAATCAACACATTTAAAGTGATAATGACAATCCACATTCATAGACATTGATATGGAAGTACATCTAAACTACTTGTACAGGTTATGATAAGGGGACTGGGGGTTATTGTGAAATATCTACACTATAGTGTGACCTACATGTGTATTTGAAAATAGTTTATAAAATTATTGCTTGACATAAGGAAGTTACAAGTAGTTATAGTCCTGTTGACAATAAAATCCTCATAACATGGGTCCTCAAACAATCAACTGGTCCAGATCTACTAACATTATTTCAACTTTTTTTAAATTAAAAGTGTGTACGGCTGTAAATTAACATTTAAAAAGTTCTCAACAGAGCCATTTCAGAAGATGTCCACCAAGTTTTTTTGTAACCTTATAAAGTTTACCTGAACTATAATCCTTATTTATTGTACCTAGAATATTGTTATAATATGAACAGTATTACTATGAAATATTATAAATAGGTCATTTCAGGACTAACATATGGTTCAATTTTATTTCAATACTTTGCTTGCACGTAGGGGTCTTTAGCAGTGGGAGGAAACCGGAGGACCCGGAGAAAACCCACGAGATTGGACAGGCGACCCTACTCCTTGTCACGTACAACCGGGGAATCGAAACCACGCCAGTTGACTCAATGACAGACTTTATGATACAGCGCGCACGTGCTAACCATTCAGCCATCCAACCCCTCCTAAATATTCTAAATAGATACAATAGCATGGTATTAGTAATGCTATGAAATCACCAGGAAAAAATGATTGATATCTTAATCTGCATGGTTCATCAGGTATTCTAATTATCTATTACCTTATATTAACATGTCTCATAACACATTGATAAATCGTTTGACTATTCCTTTCACTTCCAGGTTAGCTAAATAATACTTATCATCTTTTGCTTTTGACTCAAATAGGCATATACATTACATAAGTGTTTTTAAAATTCTATCATACTTACTTTTACATATTTGTTAGGATATTTTCTTTGTTTTAATGATAGTGAATAAAATGGCACAATAGATATTTGATATAAATCATAAAGTCTGAAATTAATCACATATATTGATATATGTATCAAGTGTCATGGTTTATACAAGGTGGGGTGATTTTATGTTACTGTTTGTAACAAAGACTGTGGCTTAAAGCCAAGACGCGTGACACCAGCTCATAGGGCCATTAAATGACTACTACTGTGTCAATAAGATGTCCTCCTGTAGCCACAATTTGATTAAGTAAAGGTCAAGCAGTTTGTTTTATGTATGTGTATATAATATATATTCAATTTTTGAATGAAATGTTTGTTTATATAACTGTATGTAAACTAAATAGATGTGAGAGAGAGAAATGGGGTTAACATCCACTTAACACAAACTGGGTCATTTCAGTAATTCACTAGAAATAATGTTCTTTAGCAGTGGGAGGAAACCGGACGTCCTGGAGAAAACCCGCAAGTTTGGGCAGGCAAACCCCACTCAGTGTCATAGGCGTATGTGTTCTTGAATGCGTCTAATTTAACAGCGAATTTAAATTCAGAGTTTCTATAGTTAGGATATTAAATAGAAATCTTAAGACTCGAACCCTCTATTGTTTGGAGTACAGTAAGCCACGAATTACAGTTACATAAACAACTGTTTTTAGTTGTGTTTATTACAAGTAAATAAAATTTAGTTCTCTTTTATTGATGATTTAGAAATTAAGAACTTATTCATCGCAAAAGAGATATTATGATTGTTATGTAACATACTAAGAACCTAACTACATTTTTGGGGCACCAACCACCACCGCCCCCCCAGTAAAAAATTTCCCCGTACGCCTATGCTCAGTGTCATGTACAAACATGTAAATGAAACCATGCCACTTGACTCAATAACAGACCTTATGGTCTAACAGGCATTAGACCACTCAACCACCCAAGTCCCCTCTAAGTGAACATAAAGAGTTCTATATTATATCAAATATTCTGGCACCTGAAAATCAATTATCCTTGACCAAAGATCAATTAAACTTGATCAATAAGTGGTACTGCATGGTACCTCTCAAGAAGGTGGGGTCCTCTGAAATAAATGCAATTCCATAGTCACCTTACCATATCAAAGAGACATGTTTAGTTGAGGAAAACATTAACATGGATCTTAATAATCCTGCATGTAGGGGTCTATGCCAATATTGCTGACAAAGTCAAAATTTTCCAACAATACATGATGTCACTCAAAGAGTTATTACTCAGCTTTCTATTCTTATATGTTAAATTTCTTATTTGAATTAAAAGTAATATTAATTTTATAATACAAATTTATTTTCATCTGCTTTCTGTAGCCCGATAATAGTAACAA